TCCATTCTATTTTTGTAACAGTGATCTACGTTTTATGGACCTAGCAACTTGTGTTGTTTTGTAAGCATCGAACACTTCTATTTGATAGAAGACGCACATGTCATCCACGTAGCTCAAATTTTCATAATTTTCTATAATACGACATCGCTATCAAGTGCTAAGATGATTGATAAAAGTCCTGGTGAAATTACTCTCCGTGGCAACTCTATTGGATATATTAAAGAATTGTGAAATGGTAGTTTTCCTTCCACACATTAAAACTTGTTTTAAGGAACACGAATTATATAAACCGAAATTTTACGTTAAATACATACAATCCTTAGATACGTCAATGCACGCAAACACATTGATACTAATATCATTTTACTGGCGAATAATTTGTTTTAAGAGTAGAATGAATGTCTATAGTTTCAAAATACTGTTCACACCTCTTGAGCAATATACTTTGGGCAAGTCATATGTCATAGCGAAATGATGATTCATGTCTGTGTTTTTTTAATAGTGGCACTTAACTCCGAGGTATTTAGTTCTCTCATTCGAAAACCTATGAGCTGCGCAGCTCGACTCTTAAATTACACATGCGCACTCTATACTATACTACACTAAACTCGCACAGTGTTAGCCGGCACATGTACGTCCAGGCTAGCAACGAATTAAGCAATTGATTTAAATTTGCAGGTAAGTTACAGTGGGAATTGTTACAGCTCGACAGTCCAACAAGAATAATGTGCAACATTTTGTTTTGTTTGATTCTTTACTGAAACAGCAATTGAAAGCGTATCACAACATGTATAATATTGTATAAACACAGATCGGTCGCGTGTGTATCGTCTTTGAACAACGGCGGGTTTGCCTTAATATATTTATAGTGATAAAACGTCAAATACGCATAATAACCATCGGCTACGTTGTCAGATTGTTTGAGTCGATGTGTGTTTATTTTGGCTCATTTTATTAGAAAAATACAATGTCATTATAATAGTGCCAGTGTCATTATAAAAGTCGAACTGCACTGATTTTTAAGATAATTGCAGTATCAATATTGTAATGTATTTATAACATTCATCACAATTAGTGTACATTATAATGATTGGGGTGTTTGATTGACAGTATAGCGTGTAAATGATCACATGGATTATACGGCATGTAACTATTCAATGTGTATACACGAGTTGTACTTTGTACTTTAATATACCCCTATTAATTTTATATAATGTATGCAAACAAGTGTGAATAGTTCGGGTAAGAAAACTTGACAGATTATTTCGTTCAATCACCGTGCATGTAAGCCGGCTTTCGTCGTGAACACAAACACAAACTATTTTACTTTATTGAGAAAAAAAACACAAACACGAAAAAAACTGTATGCACATTTAAAACTCGATGTGTAGGATAAATGTTGGAAACTTTTTTTACAG